CTCAACCACACAATTTCATTAAAGTCAATCTAACGGTGGGGAGCGTGTCCCCATTTTTTTTGAAAAAATGGGGATCCCTCCCCTTAAGCTCCCTATATATATATATATATATATATATATATATATATATATATATATATATATATATATATATATATATATATATATATATATATATATATATATATATATTATAGCTAAATTCAAAAGAATTAAATCATAAAAAATAAGGTCCGCTCTGTAAGCTGTGTACAAATTTCTTAGCAGAAGCATTGAGCAACCCAAAGCTTACAAGTGGTAAAACAAGGTTAATTTTGATCAGTGTGGTTATACGGTTTTTTAAGCATAATCGAGAGATAGGGGGACAAAGTAAAGAGGATCCAAAGAAAGTATACCCCAACAACTACAAGAAAATAAGGAAATATTGCTTTCTTATTATTTTATAATGTACACTTATTCCTAAAGTTGGTTGGTTTAGGTAAGGTTAACACCAGACCATTTGTCTTAAGTGTATGATCTGCATCATTTTAAGATGGAAATTATTCCGCTCCTTACATGTAATAGTAATTCTTCTTTTAAAAATGATATGACATTATTTTCTTTCTAATCAGCACCGTTCATTTTAATATGAATAGAAAACAAAATTATGGTTCATTGTGAAGATATAATTTGTTACTAAAATAATCGATTTGTTCGACACATATGATTCAACAACAACAAAGCCTTTTTCCACTAAGTGGGGTCGGCTATATGAATCCTAGAACGCCATTGCGCTCGGTTCTGTGTCATGTTCTTCGTTAGATCCAAGTACTCTAAGCCTTTTCTTAGGGTATCTTCCAAAGTTTTCCTAGGTCTTCCTCTACCCCTTCGGCCCTGAACCTTTGTCCCGTAGTCACATCTTCGAACCGGAGCGTCAGTAGGCCTTCTTTACACATGTCCAAACCACCGTAACCAATTTTCTCTCATCTTTCCTTCAATTTCGGCAACTACTACTTTACCTCAGATATCCTCATTCCTAATCTTATCCTTTCTCGTGTGCCCACACATCCAACGAAGCATCCTCATCTCCGCTACACTGATTTTATGTACGTGTTGATGCTTCACCGCCCAACATTCTGTGTCATACAGCATCGCCAGCCTTTTTGCCGTCCTATAAAATTTTCCCTTGAGCTTCAGTGGCATACGGCAGTCACACAACACGCCGGATGCACTCTTCCACTTCATCCATCCAGCTTGTATTCTATTGTTAAGGTCTCCATCTAATTCTCTGTTCTTTTGCAAGATAGATCCTAGGTAGCGAAAGCGATCGCTCTTTGGTATTTCCTGATCTCCGATCCTCACCCCTAACTCATTTAGGCCTCCATTTGCACTGAACTTGCACTCCATATATTCTGTCTTTGATCAGCTTAGGCGAGGACCTTTAGATTCCAACAATTCGACACATATGATTAATCAAACAATTTTTAAATTGCATAAATTTTTATAAGAGGTATTTGCTGATTTGTCCCCTGAACTTGTATGAAGCTGCCAATTCCCCTCCCCCTGAACTTTAATTTTAGCCGATTACTTCCTTGAATGTTTATAATTAGCCAATTTTCCTCTTGAACTTTAATTTTAGTTGATAACCCCCTAACTTTTATAAATGGCCAGTTCCCACCTAGCGTTAGATTTTAAAAACTTTCATTCAATTTTTCATCCATCCAATTTTTCATCCTTTTTCCCCTCATACAATTGTCATGTGTTGTTTTTGTGATCAAGATGAATGAAAATTTGGATGAAAATTTTTAAAATCTAACGCCATGGGGGAAATTGGCTATTTATAAAAGTTCACGGGTAATTGGCTAAAATTGAAGTTCAAAAGGGAAATTGGCTAATTATAAAAGTTTAAAGGGGTAATCGGTTAAAATTAAAGTTCATAAGGAGATTGGCAGCTCCATACAAGTTGAGAGGGAAAATCAACAAATATGCTTTTTTATAAGTATGTTTAATAAATAATAATAAAGAGAACTAACAGAATACAAAAGTTAACACCAGACCATATGTCTTAAGTTAATAATTTGTTACTAAAATAGTCGATTTGTTCGATACTTTAATTTCACGATTTCCAGCATGTGCATTACGTTGTAGGTGGAGATGAGCAGAACTGAAAAATAATAAAATGTAAACTGAATAAGGCCAAGTTGGAGAGAGAGAGAGACAGAGGCATAAACGAGTAGGCCAAATTAATATATACAATCATGTAGGAGAATCTTGACACTGCCTTGCGAATTAGCTATATATGCTGTTCTTAATTTTACTTTTCAGATAAATGTTTGTTTAATTATTTGGACAAAAATACAAAAAGAGGGACAAGATCAAGATTCTTTGTGACAATTTTAATTAGTCATGCTTGTAATTAACAATTGGGGAATATGGTAGACATTAGAATCTATGTTGTGCGTAGATATGATAAAAAGTTGAGAACCATATGCATACACACATAGAATATTATTAAGTCAAAGTTTGCATGTTTTAGCATTCAAAACAACTTCATATCACGTCCAAAAAGAAAATTTCATAATTTCATGATGGATAAAATTGAAGGAAGGAGAGGTATTACTTTAAAATCAATTGCCAATGAGAGAGTGAAGCCCTTGCAAGATTGAAGGAATTAACCTCAATTTTCTTCACATTTTCACAAACTCTCTTGTTTGATGAATTATTGAGCCTAACATAAACTCAAATTTTAATTGAGTGACATAAAGTATATGTGGTTGCTAGCTTCAAATGTTGTATGCATGAACTCCAAAATAAGTCTGTTGCATTCTAGGTTAATTAATGAACTTATCTTATTGGATGTTAGTTATATTCATCACACATAAGATGATATATGAATGTGGTCTATATTGGGGTGCACTTGGGACTTGAAACTAAAATGTAAACACAGACAAAATCGGACTGCACCAAACGATTTGGTTTTTGCGATTTTGAAACAATTTTGGTTTCAAATCGAACCGAAAACTAAAATATCAATTTGTTTTCAGTTCCTAATATTTGGAACTGAACCGCATGATATAAAAAGTATTTAATTTAATTAGAAAATTAGGTGTTGGGATTTAATTGGTTATTTGGTGGAGTCCATACATGAATTTGGATTTGGACACTTGAATTTTAGTATAGTGGATATTGGTTGCTAGGATTTATCTTTTCCTTTTGATTTTAAAGCAAACTCTAAAGGAATTTCCTTGAATTTTAGTATAGTAGTTATCAATTTTGGTTTTACTTACTGTAACCTATTCTTGTATCCCGTTTGGAAGCCAAAGCAAACTAAAAAGCTATGAAAATAAAAAATTTTAAAAAAAAAAGTTGGAAGTCCAAACCGAAATTAAAACCATGTGAAACCGAACCGAATCAAAATCAAATAGTTCGGTTTCACTTTGGTTTCTATTGTCGTACCAAACTGAACTACCACAATAAATTTTGGTTTCGATTTCAGTTTGATCCAAAATCAAACCACACCAAACTGTACCCATCCCTCTAAATATATGGTATCTCTAACATTAGTCAATCAAAAAAAAAAAAAAACAGAAGACTACAAACTTGGAGAAACTAAATGTAGAACATGATAATATTGTACATTTTGACAATCAAATAATTAAAAAAATGCAATAGCAGGAGAACAGGAATAGTGTTGTGAGGATTGTCGGGTTATGGATGATCACATCACATCTCTATCAACTCGACTCAATGATTTTCTTAGGGATCTTTCCCATGGACAGCATGATTTGGATTAAACGTCTAAACTCCACACATGCATTATACCTGTATATGTTTAGTACACATACGTATATAGCATTAGCTTTTAGCAAGTATGCCGATCCACTGGTCATCAAGCGAGACATGTTATTACACGCATATATACCACACATAAACTACAAATATTTTAGGGAACTTTAATTAAAAGTTTTAGGTACTATTCACTTTAACGAAAAATCACATTTTTATACTAAAAAGTCAATCCTAGTATTATTCATTTTACCTTTTATTTTTTCCTTACCGTTAAAATTTAAAATTTTCAAATTTTTTTCATTAGTTTTTCTTATATTTTATCCACTTGTAACTCAAAATGAGCCTAAAAACCTATAGGTGATAGGCGATATTTGATGAATACACGTATTATATATATCCGCGATGTACGGGTAATAACTTATCCCAATCCATGAGCAGTGGAGCATGTCCCTTCAAAAGGAGGTACAATATATCTATAGTTGTACAGAAAACCCCCAATGCAGTTAGAGGTAGACTCATTAACTGTATAGTATAGTAGTTTGAATTACTCTTATTTAAACAGCTAGCACTGCCACACAGAGAGAGGAGAGAGGGACTGTTGGAACTTGGAGGTATGCCAATGGAGGATGCTCTTCCATTCAAATACAGCAACGTATCTGACAAAACTTGAATTTGCTTCAATATCCTTTACTTTTTTTTGTTGTCTGACTCTGATGGAAGCTATTTACATGTCCTGCAATTTCATGAATCGTGGCTATAATTGTACGTTTGGTTTTAGTCGGGAATGGCATAGAGAAGTCTTCTGTCACTTCTCCTTTAGGCCATGCATCTTGTTTGCATGCATCAAGACACTTCTCACGTTGCATATGCTACAGTATCACGTCAAATCTGTTAAGCATGTTAAACAGATAAGATCTCACCAAGAAGACAACTTGTAGAAGAAGATACAGAGAGAAAAGAGAGGTAAAAAATTGTATTGAATCTTTGTATATTACTTAATGATAAAGCTATTACATGTAGGAGTATTTATAGTTCCTCTCACAATCTTAACAAATTATGCAACAGAACATGTAATCTTATTACAAGTGTCAACATCTCAATCATTCATTCTATTCATTTCATATATTCTAACATCCCCTCGCAATGTTGTGTTTGGATAAACCTAACATGAGATTGAAACAATGTGTAAGAAACAGAGGAGCACTTAAGCCCTTTGTTAGAATATCAGTATGCTATTCCCTAGAATTCACAAACTGCACAAGGAGCTTCTTTTTAGCAATTCTTTCTCGAACAAAGTGAACATCCATTTCTATGTGTTTTGTTTGCTGATGTTGCACTGGATTGAGAGACAATGCAATGGCATAAAGATTGTCACAAAACAATGTGGGAGGAACTGATATGGGAACTTGCAGAAAAGATAGTAGTTGTTGGATCCAATCCAATTCTGCAGCAGTTGTGGACAATGCCCTGTACTCGGCCTCTGTCGATGATCTGGAGACAGTTTGTTCTTTCTTTGAACTCCAAAAGATTGGATTTGATCCCAGAAAGACCACAAAGCCAATGGTAAAACGTCTATCATTCGGATCCCCAGTCCAATCTGCATCACTGTATGCAATAAGATTCAAGTCAACTTTAGAGTAAGACATACCAACCTTCATTGTCCCTTTTAAGTATCGTAAGATACGATTGACTACAATAAAATGAGAGACCATAGGTTCTTGCATGAATTGACACACCTGATGCACGAAAAATGCAATATCAGGTCGTGTAAAAGTGAGATACTGAAGAGCACCCATCACACTTCTGTATAGAGTTAGATTGTTGAATAATTCTCCATCATCCTTAAGCAACCTGTTATAGGGTAGACATGGAGTATCACAAAACTTTGAGTCAAGCATCTCAGTTTTCTGCAACAAATCTTGTATGTATTTTGTTTGAGATAAAAACAAACCATGAGAAGTCCTTGTAATCTGAATTCCCAGAAAGTAATGCAAATCACCAAGGTCCTTGAGATCAAATTCAGAAGTGAGAGGGTCAATAACTTGTTGAATAGCATCAGGACTGCTGCCTGTAATGATAATACCATCCACATACAGAAGCAATATCACAATATTAGAACCTGCTATCTTGACAAATAATGAGCAGTCTGAGCATGTATCTTTGAACCCTATAAATGGCAAGAAAGCAGTAAATTTCTCATTCCAAGCTCGAGGAGCTTGCTTAAGACCATACAAGGATTTGTGCAGTTTACAAACCATTTTAGGATGATTTGGATCAAGAAATCTTGGAAGTTAGGCCATATAAACTTCCTCTTGAAGAATGCCATGTAAAAAGGCATTTTTTACATCTAATTGCCTTAAAGGCCAATCAAACTGAGCAACTAAGGACAAAATGAGTCTCACTGTTGTTGGTTTCACCACTGGGTTGAAAGTTTCTCCATAATCCAAGCCAGGTTCTTGACTAAAACCTTATGCCACAAGTCTAGCTTTATGTCTAGCTATAGATCCATATGCATGCTTCTTTATCTTAAAAATCCATTTGTAACCAACCAAGTTTTTGTGTGTGGGTAAAGACACTAAACTCCATGTTCCTTGTTTAGACAGAGCACTTAATTTTTCCTTCATAGCATTCATTCAAACAGGAACCTTAAGTGCAGACTTATAAGTGGATGGTTCAGTAAGAGTCAAATTAATACCTCCAGAGTCTTCCACAGTAGTGAGGAGGACCTTCTTCTTAACAATGCCACTCTTACTCCTTGTTTGCATTGGGTGCAGATTCAAGCAGATTCAAGGATGGTACTGAAGAAATTACTTAACGACTGTTAGGTCGAAAGTCAAGGTCCACAGGGATGTAGGAAGATGAGTGTGTAGCATTAGAGACATTTGGATGAGTAGAAAGTGGATCTGAGGTAAGGTTTAAAGGATTGGAGTCTGGGATAGGTGATGTAGGAGAAAGATAACCAATTTCAGGATGTAAAAGTATGGGAGACTATTGATGTGTAGAGACAAGGGTACTTGGAATTGAGGAAACAAGTTCATTGTCAAAATTCACAACTGGCAAAGGTAAAGAAATGGAAGATTGTGTATGTGTCATATCAGTTTGTTTAGCTACTGTCAATAAAGATATATATGGAAATTCTTGCTCATTAAACATCACATGTCTTGATATATAAAACTTGTGATTTGTGACTGCATAGCATATATATCCCTTATACTTGGATGCATACCCTAAGAAAACACATTTCGTGGTTTTAGGTTGCAATTTGGAATTGTTGTAGGGTTTAAGTAAAGGAAAACATGCACATCCAAAGATCTTTAAGTGATATATCAAAGGAACTGCACCAATAAAATTTCAAAAAGAGATTGGTTCTATAACACAGAGGATGACATCCTATTAATAAAATAGTTTGCAGTTTAGACAGCAAGGGACCAGAATTGAGATGGTAATTGGGATGATTGCAGCAAAGTCATTGTGATTTCAACAAGGTGCCTATGTTTTCGTTCTGCTAAGCCATTCTGTTCAGGGGTCTAGGGACATGAAATTTGATGTGTAATACCCTTGGTTTTGAGAAAAGATTGAAACCTATTGCTCACATATTCCACCCCCATCACTTTGCAATGTTTTAAGTGATGCAGAAAACTGAGTAAGTATGAAAGAATGAAAGGCACAAAAGATATCAAAAAATCTAATTTATTCATTAATGGAAAGATCCAACAGTATCTTGTACACTCATCAATGAAAGTGACATAGTATTTATAACCATCTAAAGACACACAAGGTGCTGCCCCCCCCCCCCCCCCCAAAATATATCACTATGCAGTACATCAAAAGATTTTGTAGTTTTATTGACACTTGACTGGAATGGCAGTTTACAAAACTTGCCTTCTAAGCAGCTTTGACACATTACAGGTAAATTGTCATGACTACATGGTATATTAGCTTTTCTAAGTATTAAGGAAACAATAAGATTTGATGGATGACCTAGTCGGCTATGCCAAATAGTCGAGTTAACTAGCTGACCAAGCAAAGCTAAGGGTTAAAGTTGAAATGAATTGACAATAGACAAGGATGGAATTGGGTAGAGACCATTACTGCACACTCCTTTGTATAGCATTATCCCTGTGGCCTTGTCCTGAATCCAAAAATTGAAAGCATCAAAGATCAACCAACAATTGTTATCTAAACAGGTTATATGAACAGATAATAGATTTTGAGATAACTTGGGAACATATAGAACTGAATTGAGTTTAAATGGTTGCAATGGAGTTCTTATAACAGTGTTACCAATGTGAGAAATGTTCAGACCTTCACCATTTGTAGTTTGTACCATCTCATTTGAAGGATAAGAAATGGCTAAAGAGAGATTACCAAACTCAGATGTCATATGATTAGTGGCACCCGAGTCAGTCAACCACACTTGAGGATTAGAGTGATGAAAGGACATGCCAGGAACACTCTGTGAAGACTGAGAAATAACAATGTTCATTGCTTGAGAAATAACAATGTTCATTGCTTGCATAGGATGCTGAAATGATGATTGACCAACAGGCATTGGGAATTGCTGTTGAAAATGTGGTTGAAACTGAGGTACTTTGTCTTTGTGAAAACAATACTGAGCAGTGTGATTTGATCTGCCACAAATGAAAACTAACATGAAAGATAAGAGATAGGATATCCACCATATGCAAGCATAGGAAACTAACCAAGAAGCCCAGGAGTAGGAACCGGCAAAACATGACTTTGAGTAGGCATATTTGGTTTAGAGTAGGCATACTTATTACCCTGACAAAGCTTGCCCTTTCCTTTGTTTTTGTTATGGTTATAAGGCTTGAAAGCATAGTTGGATTGACCAGAATTGTTGCCTTGATAATTTCCAAAATTAGTCCCTTGATAGTTGCCATAATTATTCCCTTGATAAGTGTTTTCGTGATAATGATTGCCCTGATAATTGTTGCCTTGATAGTTGATGTCCTGAGATGAACTTGCCTGAAAAGATTGACCTTTATCACTGGCATCAACCAACATAGCAGACAGGAATGGTGTAGTAGAATTAGTTTCAAGAATAGCCTCTTCAACAAGCAATTGTGCCCGAAACTCTTTAAGGGAAATAACACTTTCCCGTCCTCGAATTACGCATCTGAAAGTGTTATACTCAAATGGTAAGCCATTGAGGGGTAAGATAACAAAATCTTCACCCTCAAATTTCACTCCTGCAGCAGATAAGTAGTCCCTCGATTCTTTAATTTTCTGAAGATATTGTGATACAATACTGGTACCTTTCTTGATATTCTATAAATCAAACTTCAACTGAAACACACTAGTCTTAGATACAGTCGAGAAATGTTCCTTCAATCTTGTCCACAAATCTTTAGAACAAGAACTACCAATTGCACAAGAAACAACAATAGAAGACAAGGTAGCAGTAATCAATTGCATAATAGCCCTATCATGCATTTTCTACACTTTATACTCATCAGTTTCAAGATTACACGGAGAATTATCAGATTCTACATTAGAATTCACAGAAACAGACAGTGAAAACCGAGCAGGACATGGGTTTGAGCCATTAACAAAACTCATAATTCCATATCCTTCCAATAGTAATTCCATTTGAAATGCCAATTCAAGCAATTTGCTTCATCCAATTTCACATTCACAGATGAAAAAATAGAAGAAATTAAAACAGTAATCGGAGACTGTAAAATCTGAAGTTGCGATGCAGTTACCATTTTTGCAAAAGAAAGAGAATTCTTGATTGGAGCAATCAAACAAACACCTGGTGTGCATCGAAGAAAATTGATGAAGAAGACGAAGGGTGGTCAATCGTAGAACCACAGAAACCCTAATTCTTGATCACAGAAGAAAAAGTCGCCAAAGACATAACAACTCAAATGAGAGAAGAAGATCAAACAACTTCAGAGAGCAGACGAAGGTAATGAGCGGAAACTTGTTGCGGATCGGTTCTTGCGCGAGCAAAAACGGCGATTGATACCATGTTAAGCATGTTAAACAGATAAGATCTCACCAAGAAGACAACTTGTAGAAGAAGATACAGAGAGAAAAGAAAGGGAAAAAATTGTATTGAATCTTTGTATATTACTTAATGAGAAAGTTATTACATGTAGGAGTATTTATAGTTCCTCTCACCATATTAACAAACTATGCAACAAAACATATAATCTTATTACAAGTGTCAACATCTCAACCATTCATTCTATTCGTTTCATATATTCTAACAAAATCGAAGTTGGCACAAGTGTTTGTGAAGTGAGTTATGCATGGCTCGTATAAATGTTCAGAAAAAGGTACAGGGTGATAAAACTTAAAGGGTGGCACCTCTTTCAACTCGTGAAAAGTGATACGATTTCTTACAAGTCCTTCCACGGTTTGACCCTTCTTCTATGTGAGACATTACCATTCAGGTAACATCCCACATCGTCCAGGGGGAGTAATCCTTAAATGTATATTCATATCCCTACCTAGGACGAGGCCTTTTGGATGCTCACTGGCTTTGGGTTCCGTAAGAATTCCAAAGTTAAGCGAGAAGGAGGCCAGAACACTCCTAGGATGGGTGACCCACTGAGAAGTTACTCGTCAGTTCCCAAAAACAAAACCGTGAAGGAATGGTAAGCCCAAAGCGGACAATATCATATTACGATGGTGGAACGGGCCCGAGATGTGGTGGACCCGGGCTGGGATGTAACAAATGGTATCAGAGTCAATACCTAGCTAGAAGTGTGCCGACGAGGACGTCGAGCCCCTAAGGGGGTGGATTGTAACATCCCACATCGCCCAGGGGGAGTGATCCTTAAATGTATATTCCCATCCTTACCTAGCACGAGGCTTTTTGGGAGCTCACTGGCTTCGGGTTCCGTAGGAACTCCGAAGTTAAGCGAAAAGGAGACCAGAGCACTCCCAGGATGGGTGACCCACTGGGAAGTTGCTTGTGAGTTCCTAAAAACAAAACCATGAGGGAATGGTAGCCCAAAGCGGACAATATCGTGTTACGTTGATGGAACGGGCTCGAGATATGGTGACCCGGGCCGAGATGTGACAATTCAAATCCCATAACTCCGGCAACTACTATTATTGATTTTTGAATCTCGAAAATACGAATAATTTTCAATAGTGCATGATGATAATATTATAGTTGGATTTTTTTTTTTTTTTTGTTTTTTTTTTTTTTTTGGAAACAGGATTTTTTTTTGTTCTTGTTGATTGTTGTTCGATGTTTTACCTTTAAAATAAAATTTCAAATTTCATCAAAAAATGTTTCTTGATGATTAACACATATCGAGTGGTGTCACCAGTTACTTTTAATTGAATTCAGACTTGAATTACAAATTAACACAATGCGACCTGTTAAGATATCAAGTTAATATAAACACAAGTCCTTTCCAGTTATACTTCCATGTAATGCACAAAAAAGTGGGTGCCGCGCGACCAAAGTTTGGGCCTAAAAGGCCCAGCTTAACCGGATACAACAGAAAAAGTGAACTCTGGGCTCCAAAACAGAGCCCAAGTACGCCCCGACCCAGTAAACAAGTACCCATGATGGACCCCACAAACCTAAAATTCCTAGTGAAAAAAATGAGAAAAAACCCTAAAATCCACCATCATCCAAATTCAGTCTAACCAGTTACTACCACCACCCAGATACACCAAAACATGGCTCTACGCATGTTCGTACAGTTCCCGGTTACCTCACCTTTCCCGCCACCCACAAAATCCGGTCACCTGAACTCATCCGTACGGTTGAAACCTCCATGTGCCGGTAGCCACTCAATTCCCCTATCACAACCCAGACGGCCCGTAACACAGAAGAACAGAAGGCAATCATTTCTCAAAGCCGTCGACGAAAGCCAGGCGAATTCCGAGTCCGGCGCCGAATCGGTGAGCACCCAAGACAAAGAATCGGCCGCGGAAGGAGAATCGGCGGCGAGTCAACCCGTCGAGTTGAGCGAGTTGGGGAAGGAGATCAAGGCGGCGATGCAGAAGAGGAAGGAGGAGAAAGAGGGAGGCTTTTTGAGCGGAGTGGTGGAGGAGGTAAGGGAGATCGAGTGGCCGGCGTTCGCTAAGGTGTTGGGGACCACCGGGGTGGTTCTTGCGGTCATTGCCGGTTCCAGCGTCGTGTTGCTCACTGTCAATGCCATTTTGGCTGAGTTTTCCGATCAGGTTTTCGCCGGGAGAGGGGTTCAGGATTTTTTCAGCTGAGAGTGAGAGATGTGAGAATGTTGGGTTCATGGGCCGGCAGACCCGACCCGGCCCATATGGTGTGTTTAGGGAAAGAGAGAATCAAATACTCAATAGCATTCATTGTATAATTTGTATTATTCAAAATTGACTAAATCATGATTTGTCTGCTTTGCTCTTTTTAGTTCAAATCGTCGTAATTTAACTCGTGTGGTTTACTAATTGTTATAATTTAACTCGTGTAATTTACTAAGTGTTGCAATTCGAGGACAAGCTTAATTATATCGGCTTTTCCCGCATCATTTACATGCGCAGTGCTAGTGCACCGCAACAATTAACAAATTAAGATAGATTAAATTGCAATAATTGAAACTCCATGAACCAAAGTAGAACTTCACTAAAATTACCGAGATAAAAAACTCATACAGTCGCCTTAAAATTTTGTGCTTTCGCCCTTAAATTCTTACGAATGAAAGAGAAGCATAGTTAAATAGGGTACATACACTCAATAATTCAGTGCCATAATTGTAATTTGCTAACCATTCTACCACCTGATACGCTTAAAAAACACATCTAAGAAGTTCGAGACAACAAAACAAAGGTGGTGGAAGACCATTAAAAGTACAATCCTCATCATTCATCCGCTTCCACCGGCAGGGCCAACCAGGACTCCCTGAGCAGTCCCTTCTTTCCGAGCGCTATCATCCTTCTCCTCACCCTGCTCCTTCCGTATCCTGATCTTGTACTTTGCCTCAAAATCAGAGATTTCCTTTTTCTTCTTCTCCAATGCCTCATTCAGCCTGGCAATAACCTCCTCAATACCTTCTTTGTTGCGCTGCACAGCTGGCAGGACCTCCTTGATAGTTCTCTCCACCAGAACACCTCCGATCATCCGGTAGCATCGCCTGGACGGATCAAGTGGCTGGATGGCATTGATGACCAGTGAGTGCTCGCTCGCTTCCATCTCTAGCTCGGTAATTTTCGAGTAGATTTGGTTGAGCTCAGACCTCATATCAGCAAACTTATTTGCGACGGCTTGTTCGTTTACATATTCCTTTTGATCCCCTTCAGCTCTACTAGTGGCCATGATTCCCTACAAATGATGGAGCAACGGAATTCAAGAGTAGGAAGAATCGACACAAACACAATTTCACTAGCTAAGATAGATCAAAACAAAAGGGCATACAGTATATCGCATTTAGCAGAAACCCATAGCTTCTGCTTCTTGGTTATCGTAATATACGCAATTTATTAAAAGAAACAAACATTAAAATTGCAGCTGCATCTACATTAGTCATAGACAATGTTCATATGCTCCTTGGGTAATGCAAACTGACTGCATTTAGTTAAGGGGGGGAAATTAACCTCAACGCTAAAACAGAATGTTACAACTGGGTAACAATTTTTTAACATGATAGACCACCGGTGAGTTTATTTAATATGAGTTTTGTTCCAGTTGCAACTATAATTGGTGTGACTATCCCCAACTAAGGATGCAAAATGACAGCAACCCTCCACGGCAAATTTGATATTGTTGACTAATCTATATCCAGCACACTTGCACTACATATACACATACGTAAAATCTGTTGTCAACTTATCATAAACTCCTTGATCAAATGTTGTTATCTCACGGAAACAATATGTGGTAGCAGTTATTGAAGAGAAAACATCTAAGTAATCAATGTATTCCGTGAATCTTCTGTAGTATGCTTCCACTACATATGCACATACATAGAATCTGCTGTTAGCAACTCCTCGACCACATGATTTTTTCCAAATGTTACACATCAAGGCAAACAATGGCCTGGATGAGCATGACTACTATGTTTGATACATTGAGTTACACACTTTGGATCTTTGAACTTGTTCGCCGGTAATAACTTTACTAGGAATTTTAGTCGAGTCTATCTTTAACCCTAAAGTATCTTGAACTGGAATTTGAAGCTGTACATAATAACCAGAATATTCAAAAATAATTGGTTCAACCAATTTATTAACAAACAGTTCTTTACTAAACCTAAAAGCATCGAAATTACTTAGCTGTTCCTATATCTCTACCTAGGTCAAAATGAAGCTGGAATAAAGAAGCAGGTTACAACTACACTTTCTTCTTGAAAAGTAAATTTCCCCTCCCTGTCCTACGATTTTTCTGAACATACCAAGCCCAACTATGCATACTGAAATTGACACAGTGCAATATATAAACAGGGAAATCCAACAAAAAAACATAAGCTAAAATCCACTAGCAATCTGGAATCCATCAAAAGTAGATGGAAATATCACCACAATGGTGTATGAATTCCATTTTCAAATTCTATACAAGCTCAGAAAACATATATATGCAATAACCGGGCATCGGTTTTTCAATATCTTTAAATTTTTCAAGAACTTGAAGAAATTTTATGATGTCGATTGTATAGTTCTTCATAAATTCACATATAATATAATACTTACCAATGTTTACTGCGAAAAATGTTGTTTCTTTGTCTACTTTATGCAGTTTCAGGAGGGCGAATCCAGAACCAGAGTTCGAATCGAATACAACAATAAAACTTAGGGCTATTCCTGCAGATACTGAAGAGCGATAACCATCTAATATTCCAACTTAAACAGAAAATCGTAGCTACCCAAACACTCCCTTTTCTCCTTATTCAGATCACGGCAACACAAACCTTTACCAGACAAAATCCGTGTTCTTGGTGCAGTTAAACTCATTCAGTTATTAATTTTGATTAAATTTACATAGAAATCAGAGATTTCGAAACCCTATGATCCTACTTCAAATGAGAAGAAGGCCAAGTAAACATCCATGGCGAAGAAAGCGTACCTGAGTGGTGGCGCGGAGAAACTGTTGAGAAGACGGTGGCTCTGTAGACTTCAGAGAGAGTAGCAGCGACGGAGGAAGCGAATGACGAAGCAAAGCTGCTCAACTGCGGTTCGGCACAGCGAGTATTTTACTAGTTTGTTTGGCTTAATTGCTCAAATACCCCGTGTAGTTTACTCAATTTTCACTTTCATACTTATGTCTGTTGTATTTTCATTCTTCCATCTTCAACTCCAATTAGCACCGTTACTCGTAGGACGTTTTATGACTACGGTGAACGTGAGTCACCCCGGTGTACCATTCACGTGTTGTAATAAGAGAGAAGATTATACATTTGATATGTTATACTTATGGGTGTATTAATAAACTAACATGTTAAAATTTGAGTGAAATAATAATGTCATGTGATCGTGTTTCAGATCTACAAATAAATCACTAACTTAGTCCAATCCATCAAATAAAGTAAAGATTTGGATATCTCCGAAGATATGTTTTCATGTTCCTATAGTGCTCATCAAGAATTTAAGCGTCTCCAATGATATATCCTACGTTATATCATATAATAGTGTAGTTAGAAAAACAAGTCATGACCAGAAAAGATCATGGACATGAAACATATTATTTATCACATTATATCCATCTAAAAGGCTCACAAAAAGAAATGAAAGTGATGTTCAAATTCAGTAACTCAATAAAAACACGAAGGATAAGTCTATACACGTGTCAAACTATAATTAGTCAAGTGTTGCTGCATAAACAATTAACATGTAAAAACTCATATGCATACAACTAGCATAACCTTTGCCCACATTATATCCATTGAAAATACTCACAAAACTAAATGAAACCTCCGTTGATGATGATATTTTTGAACTCGTCATTCCTGAAACCTAACAAAATTCCATATAACAAGTCATTTTTAAACCAATTTTGAACATGGAAAGTATCATGTGCATCTCCTGCCAAGATATACTTTGCCAGTTCCATCACATATGGAAGTCCCTTGAATCCCTCCAAGACGATGGCATTGAGGTGCGAAGACAAACAAACATGCACGAAAGCCGGTGGATTGAACTGCCCACTTCTTTGTTCCAATCTCCCAAGAATAAGGTCGAGACGAATATGTTGTAGATTAAGTGCTCTGGGGAACACGCTTATTGAAAATTTGCATTCAAACAAGTCATCAAGATATAACTTGTTCAAATTATTAAATGCAAGAAAATTGCAATCATCACATCCATCAGAAGCTACAAGAGACAAGTATTCAGCACTGGAAAACTCTCTTTACTAATGAAATGAATGGCCCAACGCTGCCTCTGAGTTATTTCAGGAGCAGAGATGTTCAGAGATGTTTAAATCCTGACCGTGCTTTTGGGAAATATCCCTTTAGTTCCAAATCTTCAAGGACGGGGCAGTTAGAGACAAGCTTTCTGAGTAAGGCAATACCTGCAGAATTATGAGCTATAACATAGAGGCACTTGAGACTTGGGAAACAAACTGATGCAGGGGAATCATGGGTAATACAATTTGAGTCCACCTTCAGAACCACCGTGTTTTGCTAGTGAAAACGCTTTGAGGCATTGTGAACTTAACTTCCCGACGTTATAAAGTTCAAAAACATAAAAACGGAGATCAAGTTCAACAACATTGCTCCTGATGGCAGTGCAAATCCAACCATGCATAAGAGAGACAACTTCCTCTCTAAAATACAAACAGTTACAATGAAGACGAAATTTTTTGATGTCAGATGAGTTGCGTAATGAAAGTATACGTTCCAGATTTTCGATTGAGGTTCAGAAAAATCTCCATAAGTTCATACATCTCTCCATCTCTCCATCTTTTGGGAGGAAGCAGCGGTCCGAATGCGCTTGGTCTTTATGCAGGAAAGGGAAATGGAGCAAGAAGGGTTCAAATGTGATTTGATAATGAATGACCTCAACATATACACTCCAGAGAGGAAAAAGTTCTTACATGATAAGTAAAAGGAAATTTTGCGAAGGCATGCTACAAGGAGTATCTTTCAAGATGATGATTCATCTTAAGGCTTATATCCCAAGTCCACCACCAAGTCAAGGTGGTGGATATCATTATTAAGTTTATGTAGTTTACTAATTATCATTTGTATTAAGTTTATGTAGTTTATTAATTGTCGTTTGTATTAAATTTATGTAGTTAGTTAATTATCGTTAGTATTAAGTTTATGACTTATTAACTGTCGTTTGTATTAAATTTACACAGTTTATTAATTATCGTTTGTATTAAGTTTATGACTTATTAATTATTGTTTGTATTAAATTTATAGCTTATTAATTATTGTTTCTATCATGTGTTTCATATTCTTCCATAGTGTTTCATGAGTATTAT